AGATTGTTTGGAAATTGTGTTTTCCAAACACAATTCCAAAAAGCCTTCGACAATATAAAAAGTTTGTTCTTGTATCAGTGGAGACATTTTATTCCCTCTAGGCAGCTCATAATAACAGTTAATATATATCTTTTTAGGCAGCTCAGAACAAAGTCTAATGCACTGATCTAACAAAGGACAAGTATAAACCACAAAGGGCCGCAACAATCAACGAATTCAAAAAGTGTAAAAATATAAAATGTGCAATAATATACTGAAGGTCTGCTTTAAAAGGAAAGTCTTCATTAATTCATAGAAGACTGTTAGTTAGGGAGAGATGAACTTCTCTTGGAAGGGTGCTCCAGAGCCTAGCCGCTTCCACCAATGGATGCTTACTTAAACAATTACATACTATTTCTGCATTCCATCCTCCTCCTTATACAATGTTGTAACGGCCGTGTAATGGCCTGTATCTTTGCTTGTTTCCTACTTGATGCTAATTGATAACTATTTGCTAAATATACTGAAAAGTGATAAATCTCACATATCTGAATTTCATTAGAGTCTTTTTTTCCCTTTTCTTTTAGGAAGGTCTCTTTTTGAATCATGTCATAATGAAATATCAAAAGTGCTCAACAAGAAAATTCATGAGACAGCCAGTATGAGGGACTTGGATTTCTATGCTTTTTCCTACTATTATGACTTGGCAGTGGATGCTGGTTTAATAGGTAACTTTGGGAGTTTTTTAATTAGAAATGAAGACAGCGTGAATCTCATATTATAAAGTTGGCTTTAGTTAACACAAATGTAATAACAGATAATCTAAGAGCTCCCGCAGGGCATTAATACTAATGGCCAAAGCAAGGAGAAGCAAGAATCCAATTTAGGTTTCTTCTCTCTGCTTTCAGAGATTCTTCCCATACATGCTGAACAAGGCTTAAATATCAGTAATTTAACTAACCTCAAATCCTTATTTACTTGTAAAATCTTGTTAAGATTAGAGTGATATTCTAAAGCAGCAGTGGGCAGCATGTCAAGCTTATCAAGCAATCAATGGTACTGCCTACAAGATTATTAGGAAATTCCTACGCATCCACCAGAATCCCTCCAGATCCATATGTACCTGAGACAGCCTGTGGTAATAAGTCTCCAATAGAAGAGAATATATATGTAATAAATCTATTTGTCCTGGGTAGCAGTTTGTTTCATCTGGACTAGGAGATGATTTCACCGTGGCAAAACACCAGATGTAATTTTCTCCATATCCAGATCATCCCCCAACTGCTCCAAGGTAAAAAAAAAAGAGGGCCAATGAATGCACCAGGCCAGACATTACTTGGGATAAGCCCATGACAGCCATGGAGGCCATGGACCCAGAAGGCAGCGCAGAGGTTAGGGTTACAGGTTGAAGCCACTCAATATTGAAAGGTAGAGTATTGTCTACCATGGCCTTCAATGAGGGTGTAAAAAAAAGGTTGAGAGAGAATTTGAAGATCAGAGAAAAGTTGGACCTGATTGCAAAACTAGATTCCAAAATGCCCATTGCACTTGCTTGTTTAAAAAACATAGTATATTTGATATTCACAAAGCCAAAGATAAACTGAAGTTCCATGTCTTGTAAGTAAGTACATCATTGGTGGTGTGAAATCACTCACAATCACTGCCACTTAAAAATATATAAAAATTATGCAAAAGTAGTATGTTCAGCAATATTTTTGTGGTGTAAACGTGCAAGGAGTGGAACTAAGATCATCAGCCTACGGAATTGCAAGCAGATAAATATAATTTTCCAAGCCAGTGATAGATAGCTGGGGTGCTTTCAAATATGCCATAGCGTAGTCCACAAATGAACCTTTGGTGAGGCCTTGGGTGTGTCAGTAGAAGAAATAAAGCCATTGAGAATAAAGTTGAATGAACTCATAGAAGATTATTTTAGAGAAACTAATAAACTCGTAGAGGAAAGCCTGATATGTTCCAGTTTTACAATGCAGATAAGACTGGTTTGTTCTGGCATTCTGTTCCTAAGACATTCAGGCTTCTGCACATGACAAATCTATTCCTGAGGGAAAAATCTGCAAGGACAGGATCCCAGCATTAGTTTGTCCAAATGCCAATAGAGTGCACAGGTTAATGCATATCATAGTTGAAAAGTCATGCTATCCTAAGTTATTGAAATACATCATGCATCAGCTGCCAGTTATTTATTACAACTCACAGAAGACATGCTTTACAGCCTCACTTTTTCAAGACTGTATTTTTAACCATTTCTTGTCAGAAATCAGATGTTATCAAACAGGTGCTGAAAATATTGTCAGTGAATGCGAATGCTTTCTTAACTTTGGGCAGTGCTCAGTCCATTCATCTGGGAAGGTACTGTGCAAGAGTGATGGCCAATAAGTGCCTCTTTCTCAGGCTAAGGTTATGAATTCTATGAACATAATATAAGTTGATCAGCAAAAAGTTTGATCAACTACCCCGTGACATTCTGATTAGCAAGTTAGTTAAGTATAGACTGGGAGGTAGATGTAGGGAATGTTCATCTTAATTGTAGATGATCCAAAACTGTATGGAATAGCTAATATTCTAGAAGGAAACAAAATTGAAAATGATCTTGATAGATCAAATGTGTGCCAAAATAATGCATAGGAAAGAGAAAGAAACCAACCACATGGACATATTTTTCACATAATTTGGCCTGGTTTTTTGGATGAAATCCATATATGGTATAGATAAATAGAGTGTATGCCATTTCTCTTGCTCACTGTCTTTAATATCAATAGCATTAGTGTTCTTTGTAACATGGAATGTTAGAGTTTTGGAATCTCCTGCCTAGCAAGTCTTAGCTAGGTTAAAGAAGATGGGAACTAAAATTTTTGTATATTTATATTCTACCTCACATTCTTCCTAAAATTAGGAGTTTTACAGAAAGTTTGGGTGAAAGAGATTTACAATAAGTGATAATTCTAGACATGTGAGAGGTATTGGAGTTTTAATTAGCTTGAAGAAGAAATAACAGCTGGAGAAGGTAGTCTATTAAAACTTTTTGTCAGATTAGATGGTCAGTATTCTGAATTTATGAGATCCATCCACAGATTCTCACAAACCAGTAAACAATTGTTTTCAGCATTTGTATAATATGTCAGTGAACTGTGTAAGTGATTTGAATCAAACTTTTTGGTGCACATCCAAACACAAATTATATTATTGGATTTGTAATATCCCAGCAGCATAGAATAATGCCAATCCTGAAGTCACCGTATTGATTATTAGTATCCTTCTGGGCTGAATTCAAAGTGCTGATTATTATCTTTAAAGCCTATACAGTGTAGCACAAAGGTATATCAGGCAGTGTCTGGGCAGGACAGAATCTGCCTGTCCAGACTGGGCATCTTGAGAGGACCTATTGATGCTCCACCCTTTTTGCAAGGTTCATTACCCAGCAGTTATAATTTATTTCAATGCAGAGAAAGCTTTTTATCTTCCCCTTCATTTTCTTAAGGGGGCTTTAGAACTTATTGCCTGCATAATTGCAAATTCTTCAAATGTAAGTGGAATTACAGTTATTGCAGAGTATATGATTCTGCTCTATGCTAATGACATTCTATGCTTTACAGATAGACCAGAAATCTTTATTTATTTGTAGGTGAAATCCTAATTTTATTTCACTTATAAATGAGTTTGGAATTTTATTTGGTTATTCTTTTAACTGGACTAAATGAGACTTGATGTGATTGAGTCACAGTAATCAGAAAAGTATAAGGATTATGCTCATTCTTTAATGTGATATTTGTATTATTTTGTTGATTACTGTAGTGTAATAATTTTCAAAGATCTCTCTCAGAGCATGGAAATCTTAAGTACAGGAAGATTCCAATTGAATGTCTATTCATTTCTGTAATTCTATGAATATTGCAGGGTGTTTTTTTCCCTGTTGAAGATATTACTTTAAACCATCATTAAAAAAATGTCTTGTAGTCTAAAATTAAAACACATTTTTCTTTTAATGAGCACTAAGTCTAAAGTGCTGTGCCTGAAATGCATACAGCGCTGACTACTTAACCATTTATTAATCATTTAGAACAGAACGGCAGCTGTTTTGCCAACACTGCTCTTTTTCTGTGCTTGTAGAATGTAAGAACTGGTTTTCTTTTCCTCTCTCTCTTTAGATAAGGAAGAAGGAGGGATCCTGTCAGTCAGGATGTTTGAAAGTGCAGCCAAGAAAGGTAAGCCATTAGTACTTTTGGTTGTATGCTTACTTCAGGACCTAAGGAAGTTTTGTGAAATTCAGCCCAACAAAGGCTCTTTAGTGCCTGAGAAGAAGCAAATGAAGTGTTTTTCTGGAAATAGTTGTACTAACGGTCTGCTTTTACACTTGTTTGATTTTTTAATTACCCAGTGTGTAAAACAATGGAGATTCAGCAAGAAAAGCATCCTTTCTTATGCATGGATCTCACCTATGTCAGTCTGCTGCTGAAGGAACTGGGCTTTCCCAAGAATCACACTCTCAAGGTAATAATTCTTAATGACAGTATTGAGAGTTGAAAGTACTAAGAATGGAGGAAAAGGGGTATCCCAAATTTTTTTCCACAGACATCTACCAAAAATAAATTAAGGCAGTTTGTTTCAAAAGTAATAACGTATCAACTTTGCAAATATGATTTATTCTTTTAGAATTTTGGGACATGAGTTGGAGTTAGAGAAAGATGAAAGAAGGGGAGGTAGAGACGGTGGGGAAGAGACAGACTAAAGCACCCTAAAGAGGCACCGGAAGGAGGGCAGCAGTGCCCCAGAGATTGCAGTCCCACCATGAATCACGTACAATAGTCTTAAATGCACAAAATAAAATTTCTGATTTTAAAGTGTACAGAATTTGTTTTGACTGTTCCCATCAGTCACTACCTGCACAGTTTTAGATTTTGCAAGATTCACATATTGCAGCCAAGAAAGATTCTTTCTTCTTTTCCCTCTACATTATAAAATCTGGGAGTCCATGGAATCCAAGTGCTACTTAGTAAAACTAAGGGAACACACGATCCATTATTCTGTGTATGTGTGTATTACATGGGAGGCTAGTATACAGTCTCTTGAAGTGTACAGATGACGAGTGTTTTAAATAGCCCACAGAATGTCTCCGCTTCCAAGATCTTTAACCATGTTTTATTTTCATTATAGCTGGCCCAGAAGATCAACAACATTGAAACCAGCTGGGCTTTGGGAGCAATTCTTCACTACATGGATTCACTTCACATGCTATAATATTAGGGATTTACTGCCTGGGGAAAATGAGTCTAGAAGACCGGACCTGACTGATTCCTCTGAAAAAAGACTAAAAGTAAAATATTTTTTTAAATGTTGGTATCTTTCAGTAAGGATGCTAGTACTTCAGTTTGGTAGCTTTAGGTACCCAGTATTGTCCTGGGATCACAAATACTTTTTAGTGTCAAGCAAAATCAGTAACACTTATTCTGGAAAAGAATAAGCCTTGACAGTTAAAATCAGAAGCATATCAGAAATCAAACCAAGTGATTGTAAAATATATCCTTTGATTTATAATGAACATTTGTTGATGATCTCTGGTTTATTTGATATTCTTTATGAGAAAAGCACTTAATCTTTAGACAGGCCTTTTGCCATCTTGCTGCAAGCATATAAAAGCTAGCATCAGAAACAAGCAACTTTTTTGTTGCATACCTTTGGATGTTAGGCTGTAGGCATTCAGATTTTAAAATATATGAAAATTTTTCATACTTGTTTAAAAACATTGTAATGTTTGTGAAACTCTTACTAGTATATATTTAGATTTGCCTTTTGAAAATCAGTTTTTAATTCTTCAGAGCCTTGGAGGTACTGGTTTATTTTGGGAGAGATAAGCTGGGCAAGGTGCCTGCTCTACAGCTGAATTCAGTTGATGTTCCTTGATTATGACTAAAATTCCCTATGTGGTAGAGCTAGAACATTCACAAGAGGGAACAGGAGAATTGTAAGCCAGTCTTCTATAGACATTTTGGTATATATAGCCTCCCATACAAAGAAGTGGTTTGGCCAAACATCCTAATGTACAAATGGCTTGCATAAAAATGTGAGGATCCTATAACGGTGCTTGTTAAATTATGAAGGTGAACTAAATAATTAAAGAAGTAACACATTTTGTAGAGATTAAATTCTTGGCATACAAATCTTATTTTCACCAGTAAAAATGAACAGTCTCTCCTGGAATTTTCTGATTCTTGTGTAAATTGTATCTCAGTATATTAGAAGTTTCCTTGTATTTAAATTCACCATTATTTTAAAATACAGAGCATTGTGTCTTGTTGCCTTGTCCTCAGTATGGAACATAATGAGCATTGGTTATGGGACTTAAAGCATAAACAAAATATCAGTATCCAGGTTAGCCTGACTCAAGTTGGGTTCATGCACCACATTAAGCCATAAAGTGTATGTCCAGGTAGTCCTCGTTTAATGACTGCCTTGGACAGTGACTGTTTGCAGTTACTGTGGTGATGAAACAGGAACTTTGCAACCAACACCCACATTTACAACCTTCGTAGCATCTCTCTCTCTCAGTCAAGTGTTCACTATTACAGTCAGCATGTGTTGTCCTATGCCTAACCCATTTTCTTCTTACCCCATCCTCACCCTTGCAGAGCGAGTTATTGCCTAAACAAGCTATCTCCTCCTGAGCTACTTTTCTCTGTAGCACAGTGGGTCCCTAAAAAATGCTAACCAGAAGTTAACAAGCTCAGCCTCATGACCTTAATTAGTTGATTAGAACCTCCAGCCTGCCCTGCTGCCTGACACTGACAAGACTTTAATCAATTTCCCACTGAAGGCTTTTGTTTGCCTCCTAAAGCATGCTAGGCAAACAGCTGGTGCTAGCACATTTCTTTCAATGTGTATTCCCCATTGTGTGCCTGCTTACTGTCTTGTAATCCCTTCCTCTCCAAGGAATGTAAATACAAAGCTTAATTCCCTTCTTACTAATTATGTCAGTGCCAGGGTAAGCATTCCAAAGGGTGGGGAGTTGGGAAAAAAGGCTAGAAGATTTGCCTTTTTACCTGGCTTCCTCATGAGTCAAGTTCCAGAAACCTTCCCTGCCGATTGGGCTCACCTGTCTGTCTGGGGTCGTATCCTGACACTATAAAGCAAACGAAAGCTGAAGTAAACTCATAAGCACAGTCATGGTCATGTGATTTTCAGTTAGTGACTGCTTCGCCTAACAACTAAGTTGCCAGTCCAAATTGCAATCACTAAACTAGGACTACCTGTATATGTTTTTTGCTTAGCTTTTTTTTAATGCATACCATCCATTATGGCCATTCATAATATCAGAATTAGGAAATCATCACTTTCACCAGCCTCATTCCAATAGGCCATTCTTAATACCTTAAATACCTTGATTTCTTTCCGATGTGTATTCTTCTATTCTGTAATGGTCTTTTTCACTTTTAAATGGCTTTTTTTGTTCTTGTCAAGCAAAAAGGTTAGCATAAATGTGATTTTGCTATAACTCAATGCAGGCAGTCCTTGTTTAGCAACTGCAATTGATTCCAGCAAAATGGTCACTAAGTGACAGTCACTAAACAAACCATGTGATTGAGAGAGATGCTGTGAAGATCGCTGGTTGCTGCTATCTCATTTAGATAAAGTTCTCTCATGCAGCAATACCAGTGTTACTCTCACTCTGGCATGCATTTTGTCAGGTGCAGAAATTTGGGCAGAAGTGCATACATTGATTGGGAAATGATTTTTTTACTATTGTTTATTACTGTTGTATTTGCAAACAGTTGCTATATGAGGCAATTGCTAAACAAGGACTATCTGTATCCAAAACTGATGAAAGAATCCTTTAATATGGAACATAGCAATAGCTGAATTAGTTTTTGGCATTAAGCCAAAATCAAGGCAGTATTGAACCATGTTCATAGATCTTATGAAATTAGCAAGCTACAAGAGTAATGCTTGTGGAAAGAAATTTTTGATTGTACACATTTTTATGAAAACAGAAAGCTCTCTGTTTCAACATTTATACCTATGTCTGATGGATAATCTGGAAATTCAGAAAAATGCTTGAATGTTTTGGTACTGATTTAATGCATTTTTAAATTTTGGTTTATAATTATTTAGTATAATATGAATCAATCTTCCAAATTATGTATGTATATATAAATTCATTAGAGAGTTTGTATATTTAAGGTTCATTTAGCTACTAAGAAAACTTCAAATAATGTTTTCGGGTATCACTTCACAGTCTTTCTTTTAAACAAGTGAATGTATTGTTGCACTGAGCAAGGATTAGAGTACTATATGAAGATTAAGAGTAGAATTTCAATTCTAAGGCCACTTCCACACAAGGACTCTGTTCAAAAGCATTTTTAGATCCCAAAACGTGCTGGGTTTGAAGGCTGAGCTAGTTCATTGTTGGATCAGTTGCAATGTACTTGAAACTGCAGTAAAACTATTGTTTTATTTGAAACAAGGCAACTCTGGTGCTGCTGGTTCTTTTTTACCATCTGCAGAAACTTTTGCTTCATCCTGCCTTTTCGCTCCAAGACTAAAGCCATCCTAGCAGGACTTCTAAGGGAAAAGCTGACTGGATGGCTTTGCAGTTTATAAGAACCATTTATTTATTTAGCACTATTTCTATGCTAACCCACCCACACAGCTCTGGGCAACTTAACAATAATCAAACCCATAAATTGATCAATTGCAATAAATTAATAAATCCACTTGGTAAAATACTATAGCAGTACCCCCAAATACATTTTGACCCAAAAATTCAGCAGAACATAATCATAAGTTCCCTCCTAAATGTCAGTAGGGAGAGGGCTATCTTTATATGGGCAGCAGACTATTCCAAAATGCTGGGAAAGCAACAGAAAAGGCACATTTCCTGTCTCTACCTCTTTAGGGTAGGACCAGCAGATTTTGTCTCGGGACAGGTGATCTGTAAGGTTACTAGGACCCAAGGGCTTCAAGGTGCTTTTGTGATACTAGGGAGAGGACACAGTGGCAGTATGGAAATCTGTGTTTTCTTAGAAACTATGCCAGTCTTACAAACACATTACTAGATACTGAAGGGATTGTTTTGTTAGGACTGCAGCATGCAAGGAAGGGAGGAGTAACTCTTATCTCCGCTGTAAGGTCCTAGTGACAGTATACTTCCCCTTAATAACTGTGGTATCAATTGATACCAACCAAAACATATTTTTTTTAACTAATAGCAAGGACAATTTATTGAAATAGCAGAAAAGAAGATAATGATTCCTCCCCTCCCTAGCTACTGCAGTTCTGATTTTTAAAAATGCATTTGATTATTTTGTTGTCTAAAACTGAAATGGTTCCAAATAACACATGCAGAGCAAATATGATGTTAGACACGTAGTAGCCCATTGTGGAGAAAGTGAAAAGCTACAGATTATCCATATATACAGTACTGTGCAAAAGTTTTAGGCATGTGTGAAAAAATGCTGTAAAGAATGCTTTCAAAAATATATATTGTAATTGTTTAT